CTCCAACTTCAGCGGACATTCTGAAGACTGCAGGGGGTGGATTGCAGGCCCCCAAAGCTTCTGATTCAGTGGGAACCTGGTGGGGCTGAGAACCTGCATTTCTAGCAAGTTCAGAAGTGATGCTCATGACGCCGCTCCAGTGACAGAGATAATCACAGCACTAGGACCCAGAGTCTCAGAATTGCTGCCAGCTACCATTCATACGCTCATCATGCCTTGAGGCTGCCCTGATCTGCCCTCTGTCCCCAAGCCTAGCTGGGTGGCTGGACTGGTTTCTGGTACCCTAAGAGACACCAGGTCATGCTAGGCCTTTATGGTTTGATGACCCCAAATTGTCTGGTGTCTGAGTACCCCTTGGTAATCACGAGCTCTATATCTTTACCTGTGAAAGGATCAGCAGCCCCATGCTGGGGACTGAAAGGAAGCTAGATGACCAGTGGTTGTCACCCTTCCATGTGTATCAGAATCACTCAGAAGACTGGAGAAACACCAATGCCCAGCCCCTGCCCCTGCAAGTGTATAATCACCATTCTCCAGGTGGCTGATGTCAGTGTGTAGCCAGGGTTGATACCCTCAGCAGATACCATGTGCATACAAACTTAAGAGAATTAATCACAACCCTCAACATCAACACTGAATGAGACAGAAAAAGCTGCCAGTGTCCCACAGGCCTCTCTCCCAAGCATGCAGGGAAACACCAGGTGTGAGCCCTGATGGAGCCAGCTCCATGCAGGGCTGCAGCACCAGCTGACAGCGGCTCCCCTGTGGCCTACTCTCATGAGCCACTATCTATGCCCAAACCACGCTGGGCCAAAGCCTCTGATCCAAGGCTGAAAGCATCTCTGGACTTTTATAGAGCTCTTGGGGAGATAGGAAAGCTTAATCACAGCTGAGATTGGGATGTGTGATTCATGCATGGAGCTTTCCAACTAAAGGCCTTGGGGACCAATATGGCTCAGGCTCTCCCCAAACTATCACGCAGAAGTTGGATTGGAATTGTTGGGACATAGGGGTTCCTTCATTCACTACAGCTGGGAGCTCGTAGAGGCAAAGGGCACAAATGCCGATCATAAGGCCAGCTGCCTCCCACACCTTTGCACAGTCATGCAAAACAGGTACTTGCTGAACCAACGAATAAACGGTTAGGTATAGTTTTATCATTAGATTAATAAAAGCAAGAAGGAGCCCAGCGCATTGGCCACAAGTGCAGACAGAGCTGCATACAAGCGCCTTTGTCTGCCGACAGCCCATCCTGCACAGAGAAGAGCAAAACTGGGAGTGGAGGAGAAGGCACACAGCAGATTATCATCACCTCCGGTAGCTGTGAGTTATAAAGTTTCCATGGACACTTAATTTGCAAATACAGAACCACCACTCCCAGGGGAGACACAAGGTTAGGTCCCTGCCAGCTTCTGGTCAGCACAATGCATAACATTGTCTAAGTGCTTCTGTTTCAAAGCACCTTATTTCATACACAGCGTTGCTTCGTTGATACCACACTCACAGGCAGCAGCACTGTCCTTCCTGTCTGGATGAAGCCAGTCTAATATGCACCAGTTTCCTCTGTAAAGCATATTGCAGCCTAGCAGCCCCAGACTGCATTTTAGCACAATGCTGGGATGGGGGGACTTTCAATAACCAAGTCACCACGTCCTCAATTTCCATGTCTGAAACCACAGAGGTCAGGACAGGAAAGTCTGAGACAGCCTAGCCCAACCATCCCAGGCATCAGGTCACCCCCGAAGCTCCTTCACAGGGTTTGCAATGCACATACCCTTGGGCTGGCTGTGGACAAAGACAAGCTCCCACCCCACCCTGAGCACCCAGACCCCCAAGGCCTTCAGCAAGGAGACCCTGCTGCAGGAAACTCTTCCAGCCTCCTTCGAGCTCAATAAGTTGTCATGGTCTGTTTCCTGGTAGAGTCACATGGCACCCCCTGGCCTCCAGGGACCCTGCCCTCTTCTACTTTAGGGATAAGAACCAGCTTGTCTAGTCCCATTTTGCTGCTTTCAAGAGGCAGCCAACCAGAGGGGGCTCACGGTCCTCAGGCCCCCTCTGTCATTTTGGAGGACCCCCTCCCAGTTGCACCAGCTAGGCCTCTGTAGCCACTGCCCAGCACTCCCTCCAAGGCCATTTACAGCCAGTCCACCTCCCTGCCCTGGAAACTCTGCCTGACACGTTTAGACCTCACATATAGGAATGTCCACCCACCCTATTAATGACACCCTTGACCTCATCTTATCCCACCCCTGACCACCACTTCCTCTACTATCTGCCCCAACAGGGTCTCTGGAAAGGTTTTCAGGCAAGCCACATCCTGTGGCTGAACACAGAAATCTGGGGAGACATCTCTTTCCAGAGGAGGCAATTTCAGCTGTCAAACCAGCACTTCCTGGGTGGCTTGCTTTCCTTCCCTTCCCTCCTCTTCCCCATACCTAACTCTGCAGTGTATAACCTTTAGGACTTCAGCTCGGCCCAGGACTGCGTGGCACGGCAAGTCTTTCAGGGTCTGTGTTAGCATCACTGTTTTATGAAAAGATGGGGCTCACTGCCAGATGTGTCACGCCATGAGGAAAGGGATGAGTAAGGTAGACCCTGTCCTCGCACGCTAATCCTGTCCTCTCCTTTGGCTGTGCATCACTGATCCTCAGCCCCAGGAAAACTGCCATCGCCTTCAGAGAGCTGCACTTGGGCTACTTTGTCACCTCTGACTCAGTCTTACTGCAAGTGTATGGGCAGAACTGTGACCTGTGAGTCCACATGTTGAAATCCTAACCTCTGGAACTTCAAAATATAACTGTCTTCAGAGCTAGGTCCTGAAAGAGGCAATGAAGACAAAATAAAGCAACTGGTGTCCCTGTAAGAGGAAGAGGCACCAAGGATGTGCACAGAGAAAAACAAAGACCATCTGAGGCTTCAAAGAAAATGTGGTCATCTGGAAACAGAAGACAAGGGTCTCAGGAGATAGCATCATGATGGGCGTGATGAGCGGAACACTTGATTTCAAATTCTTACCTGCAAATCCTAATCCCTAAGGTACTGTGGGGAGCTGGCCAAGTCATGAGAGTGGTGCCCTCGCGACTGTAATTACTGCCCTTATGAAAGAGGCCCTAAATGGCACTGTGGTCTAAATCTAAAACGTCCTTCAGTCTTGTGTGTGTGGAAGGTACTTGGATCCATGGATGATGAGTCCACAGGTGAATGTGCTGCTGAGAAGTGGAGTCCTGTCAGAAAAGGCCATGGTCTAAAGGGTTTGTCTTCCTTCTGGCCCCCCTTTTCCTCCTGCTTTCTGTCTACCATGATGCAATCAGCTTTCTTCCACCCGACCCTGACACCAAGCCCTTCCTGCTTTGGAGCCGGCCAACCACAGACTGAAAGTGTGAGCCAAAACAAGCTGCCCCTCCTTCAAGTCGTGGGTGTTGGGAATTCAGCACTGGCAACAACAAAGTGGCCGAGACAGCCACAAACCCCCCTACCCTGTGAAGACGAAACAAGGAGGTGCCACCTGTGAGCCAAAGCCAGATGCCAAATTTACTGGTGACTTCACCTTGAACTTCCTAATTTCTAGAACTGCAACAAATTACATTTTTATCACTTACTAGCATTTTGTTATAGCAGCCCAAATAGACTAACCCATTGGACTTCCTGTGTCCAGAACTGTGAAAAAAAAGTCTGTTGTGCAGCATTTGATTTGTTAACCTGAGCAGAATACAACAAGCGAAACACAGACTCCCTCCTTTTAGGAAGCTTCTGGTGAAGGCCGCCTGCATACAGAGCACAGAGACAGGCACTGCGGGCCGGTGCTAGTAAGGACCCAGCACCCTCTCCATGGCAGGGAGAACAGCACAGCCCAAATCCACCGTCACACAGCAGAACACACACATCACGACACAACTCTGTAACTCATTAGGAAAATGTAAATTCCTTTGATTAATATACAGTGGTCCCTTGATTCTCAGACGTAATTCTTTCCACATTTCTGATTGCAAACTGAATAAGATAAGAACGGAATCATATTCAGTGGTTAGGTTCAATGTTGCTCTTATGAGAAAATTTGATTTGGTTCCTGTCCAATTCAGTTTGGGACCCGAATCATGGAAAGAAAAATAAGTTTGTGAATCAAGGTACCACTATATTAGGGAACAATCTGAGGATAATGTAAATTTTATATGTATCTGTAAGCAATACTAGATGAACACAGAACCAAGCCCAACCAAACCATAGAGGAAAACAAAAAACTCTCACACCAAGGACATCCACCGACAGTATTGGTTCACTGCCTGCTACAAGCTACACTCACCTACACATGGTGCTCAGATTCTCCATCTGATTTCACAGGACTCCCTCCCATTCTCTCTAACTCACACTGGCCACTTCAAGTCATTTTTAAGGTTAAGAACCATGTCTCATAGTATTTATGAATGTTTTAACCATTTAAATGTAAAGCTGTGCTACTGGGGGTTTTTTTTGTTTGTTTGTTTGTTTTGTCTTTTTCCTTTTTATGGGTACTGGGGATTGAACTCACGACTGCCTGCTTGCAAGGCAGGCGCTTATGCTGCTGAGCTAAATCCCCAGACCTGTACTACAGTAATTTTTAAGAGTGTGCCTGTTACATTACAGCAGAACTGTCTGTATTCAAATGTTTTCAATAAGGAATAATATTACAAGTGACGAAGGCCTGGGTAATGAGCATCTATGATCAGGATCGCAAATAAGCACTCACTTCCTGTACCAACTTCACGAATTAGTAGATCTGACTAACTTAGCAGTGATGACTTCTAGTGCCAAGGTACAGTAATTACATGTAAAGTACAAGGGAGAAGAGTAATGCATTAAAAATGGATTTTTTAAAAATTATAGGGTGAATGAAGCTATTAACAAGCTAAGTAAAAGATACTGTTTTGCCTTTAGGGTGCTTTTTATGACTTCATATTTCCAGTGTGTTTACTGGAAAAATTTCTTCCTAATGTCACACAGCCCTGCAGAAGAGCCAGACTGACCTGTCATCGAGTTTTCCGAGGTGCACAGCTGCTCTCTCAGCTTCTCCACATCGTCAGGATGCACCTGCTCATACAGAGTGCTCCCAAACCACTCCGACTGGGGCTGGTTCAGAACAGGTGTGACCGAATCAGACACGTAGATCACTCTCCCCGTCTCAGCTGCCACAACGAACAGAAACCCATCAGCAGCTTCCAGGATGAGGTGCTTCAGCTCCTGGGAAGGGAAGACTGATCAGCACAGTGCTCCGCAAGACACAGACCAATTACATCTTCTTATCACAACCTCCAGCTTCTTATTCCAATACTCATTCTAATACACACCTAATGTGGAAAAATAGTCCAATTTTACTGGAAAATAAGCTAGAAAAAAATCACAAACCATGCACTATCCCTGGGCAGGGATGTAACTTAGCAAGTACAGCACCTGCCCGGCAAGTGCAAGGCCTTGAGTTTGATTCCCAGTACCAAAACAATAAAATTAAAAATGCACCATCCCTAAGACACAGCCACTCGACACAGCTATCGGTGTTAGGAGTGGAGGGAGGGACCATCACTGGGTGTGGGGCTGCCAGAGGGATGAACAACGTCCCTGCCTATAGAAAGTGCAACCATAGCACTGCTGCCGAAGGGCCCAGCACCAGTGCTCAGTACAGGAAGTGCTGATGGAAGAAAGGAAAATGGGCCAGTTAAAGGAGAAAAAGAGGCCACTTTCCACAGTGATAGCACACTCTCCTTACTGCCCTCTACCTGCAAATCTAAGCTCCTCTAGGATCTTCTCAGGTCTACACCTGATGTAAGAGGGCCCCCAACATCCCTGCTGGATATGAGAGGTGACCTGATGTTTGTACCAGACATGAGAGGACTCCTCTTGTCCACCTGCCTGTCTAGCTTCCAGAGTTCTGACAACTGTCACCACCAGCTCCACAGACTCGAGTTGCCCAACAGGCAGCAGGGCATGTAGCATTATCTGTATCACTTTCCAGGGAGAGAGAAGTGGTCAGAAGCAGCTGTCTGGGGTCACAAAGGCTCACAGCATCCGACTGTCTGGGAGGACAGGAAGGAAGCTGTTTGCAATCAGTGAGTGACAGCGAGAAGCTCTGCCACGATCCTCAGTGTCAAGGATGAAGCAGAATCAACTCTGTTCAAACAAAATGCTTTTCTTTGCAATGCCTAGGGGCAGCTCAAGTGTAATGCTTGCACTCGGCCATGATGCCCCTTCCTGTGGGACGTGAGACATTTCCTTCTTCCTGCTCCAGTCTGCAGCCCTCACTTGCACCCCCAACCACCTCAGGTGCTGTTCAGGCCAGCAGCTGGCAAGTAGTTTTCACTGAGAAGATTCTGTTCCATTGTAATCATTTATGGAAGCCCTCTTATGAAACTCGATGGAAGACAAAGGCTCCTGCTCCACAGGCAATGAGCTGCACTTCCTGGCCATGACGTGAGCCCCTGTCCGCAGGGGGTCCAAAGACCCACAGCTGAGAAGATGCTGATCTGCGGGGAGCAGGACCAGGGAGCTTTAGGGAGGTCTCTAAGTACTGGGATGGGGGAAAATGCAAACCTCCTCAGCCTGAGAAACTTAGGGGGAAGCAGATTATACAAGCATTTTTTCAGGAAAAGTTTATTTTGCCCATTTCCCACCCTTCGCACTTCTACTATGTCTCCTAGATGCTTAGTCAGAGGACTGGGTCAGCACTTTTATTTTGGATATCTGGGAGATGTTTCCAACAGGAAGAGTTGTTTTTAAAGGTGGGCAGCCTATCTGGGGAAGCAGAGAGTTCTGTCACAGGGAGGTCTGAATGGCTTTGCCTATGCGTTCATGTTCGCATCCAGTCTGCAAGAGTCAGGAAAGGGCCCACTCTTACCTCCCCAAGTCACCTCGCCCTGAGTTCACCTCATATCCAAGGTTCTGTGTTAGAAACCAGAACATGCCCTGCCTGTCTCCTCTAGTTAACAGGGACAAGGGGCAAAGAGCAAGGGCTTGAAATAAAAGAAGGCTCATTCTGGCTCTTCTGTTCTTCATATCTGCAGCTTCTGCTATTTGCAGTTTTGTCTTCAGTGAGATTTGAAGAAATCTCAAATCTGGTACAAACATCTTCACCTGTGATGAAGCACTCACCAAGGGTCTGCACACAGTGGGTGCTCCAAAAACCTGCATGTTAGCATCATACACTGACCAAGAGAGAAACACAGGTAGGACTCACGTGGCTTGAGCTCCACAGAGGTCAGTCCACTGCAGGTGCTCAGAGAGTCATTTCAAATACTATCTTTGCAAGAGTCTTGTAAGAAATAAATAAATGTAGATGAAAAGCTTTTTCCTGACCCTACTGGTTAATAGCGCTCAGTATATCTCTGCTGGTTTCTCGCCAAGCCCTGTTGTGCTCTGCCTTCCTCACTGCATTCTTAGGAGTCACCGTGGAATTCATTTTTACAGGGGCAGAAATCAGAGTTGAAGACTCTGCCCTGGACCGCTATGCTCCAAGCCCCCCAAAGGCCACTGCTGCACCATCCTGACAGCTGTGGATGTGGGATCACAGGGCCCCGGGGAGGGGGGGGATTTTTTGTCTAAACTACTCCCACCATGTAGCATTCTCAGTGTCACAGAACACATTATTTGTAGCATCTTTTCATTCCTCCCTCCCAGGTTTTGAGCAACAATGTCACTTTTTAAATCCCTCACTCCTCCTTCTCTGCACTTTCCAAGGCTCCACCCCAGGCTGCTGGCCCTGGCACTGTCCTGAGCAGTCTGCAACGGCAAGAGGCCCCTTCTGCTCTGCTCCACGCTGGCCCCATGCTCTTGGCTTGCTGAGCAGCCCATTCCTCAGATTCTGTACTCTGCAAGCTCTCACACTTCCTACACTGCACTTTCTGACAACCACACTATTCTGCCTTCCACCACCACGAACCTCCCCCAACCTCACTGTATACAAAGTGCTTTCAAATTTGCCATTTCATTTATCACACAGAAGCTCTCACAGTCCAAAAGTTTCACATTCACTTCACCGATAGGAAAGGAAGCTTAGACAGCTGGCTGGTCTGCCCTGTGGCCAGTGCATCCTGGAAGGGTACAGACTGATTCTGCTGACATAATACTGTCTTGCTAAGAATTTCACATGCTGCTTCTCAATAGACCAAGACCAGTACTGGTGTTAATTCTATGGCTTTGGGGTCCAACCCCTATCTCTTTCACCAACTCCTGGCTCCTTCAGAAACAGCTCATTGACCTTTGGCAACTTATGGATGTTTTTCCGAGCCTCAACTTTCTTATCTATGAAGCAGGGATGAGTAACACTAGCTTCTCTACCAGAGTAGGTTGAGGAGGAAATAAAATGATGTACAAAAAGATCTGACCCTGACCAGGCACTGCAAATGCCTTCCAATGCTACCTGTGACAATCCTGCTACTGTCACTGTTACTACTATAACCATGACATCATAGGGGTCCCTCACTGCTGCCCTGGCTCTGTTCCCCACTGACTTCTGTGTCACTGGCTAAGCGCACCATGCAGATGCACAGCACATGTTTTCAGGGACACCTCACTGAGATACATGGAACCCCCAACATTCTTGAAGAGCACTTCTTGCTGAAAAGGGGAAGCAAGGTTTATTGGCTTCCTGCCTTCCTCAGCCTCACGTCCCACCTCCCCACACTATTTATTTCAGGGTAGTGATACTGTGACTCTGTGCCCTTCACAGGAGGACGCTACAGATGAATGCTGAGGGGGCACCTGCTCGGTAAGGAAGGAAGGCTTGTAGGCGCCATCCGTGGACTTGTTCCCCGTGCCCCTCATGGACTTCATGTGCGAGACGGCCATGCGCAAGATGGTGAGCTTGTCTGGCTTCCGTGCCAGCGCGCTGCAGGTGGGGACCATGTCTGAGAGTTCCGTGATGTACTGGGTCATCTTGTTCCGCCTGCGCCGCTCGATCTCACTGTGATTCTCTCTTCCCAGGAAGCAGGAGACCAGAAGGGGTAAAAAGAGAAGTATCAGACAAGGGGTTACTGTCCAGTAGGGTAAAACGGTGCACTGCTAACCTCAAATGACCAGGCATCAAGCGCTAATGCCACACAGCTGAGATCTGCGGACATACACTGGTCAGGGAGCTCTCCTGACCACCCAGTCTGGGTTGGGGAGCACAGACCTCAAAGGTCTCCACCTCCACGCACAGACTGAGGCTCCTAGTACTGTCCATGTCTCTATGGACTGCATGTGGACATAAAACACAAAGACACCACAGTGGGTCCTCCAACATGTTTCCCAGGTGCACCCAAAAATTTACGTGTGGAGGAACACGCATGTGCGTGCACACACATGAAGGAATGAATGAAAGAGAGAGAGTGGGGACTGGGGATTTAGCTCAGCGACATGAGCGCCTGCCTTGCAAGCAGGCAGTCATGAGTTCGATCCCTGGTACCGATAAAAAGGAAAAAGATAAAAAAAAAAATGTAAAAAAGAAAGAGAGAGAGTGCAGTTGCTGACTGCTTGGGTGGGTAATGTACCTTATGGAAAGAAGCACTATAAAATGCTCCTGGCTTATAATTTTTTTAAATTTATGATGGTGTGAAAATGGTGCATTCAGTAAAAACTATGCTTTAATGTACATCAACCCATATAACCATTCTGTTTCCACTTTCCATACAGTATTCAATAAATTTTGTGAGACTTCCAATAGCTGACTATGAGACATGCATTGCCTTAAAGGATTTTGCCAACTACAGCCTAATGGAAGTGTTCTGAGCCCAGTAGAAAGGCTGGCTGCTCTGTGGAGTTCGATGGGTTAGGAGAACTCAACATATTTTCAACTTCTACTTTCAATTTATAACAGGTTTGGCGGGATGTAATTCTACCATAAGTCAGCAGCTTTGTATACTTCACTATTCTTTGTGCCACTGAGTAGATTCACAGAGCCACAAATTTACTTTGTGCAAAGTTGTGAACAAGCCTTTGTTCTACCCAACACATTTTCTGCAGCATAGTAACAGCACAGGTGCACCACTGGGTTATTAAGCAACAAATACTGAGTTTTAAAAAAAAAAAAGGCTGCAAGGAATTACTGAACTCAGTCTCTGTGATGTGTCAAGGTGAAAACCAACAGAAGAGCTGATAGAGCGTCTCCATCTGGATATTATTACCTTTACACTTAAAAGAGAAAAGCCGTTCAACAATTAAGACAAAGCTGTGACTTGGGGTAAAAGAATTGTCTAAAAATATACTCCAGGACTCTTATACAACTTAGGGTTTCACTGGTGTTTAAAGAAGGACTGTGACACAAATACCTAGAAGGGGGCAACCGCAGGCAGGACTGCCTCCAGCACTGCACGTTTTAAGTAGCTGAACACCCAGCAGCCCAGCAGGGGACAGGCGTGCCAATGGGGCCAACAGTGTGAGGATACACAAAAGCCAGAGAGGGCAGCATCGTGGCCCTTCTCATCAAAAGCCCTGACCCAGGTCCCAGGAGGAGAGAAGCAGGAGAGCAGAAAGGACTGCCCTGCCCTGCCCTCAAGCACAGGAGTTTTATTAGGAAGGAACGTAAAATCCAAGAGCAGAATATGGTTAAAAGCTCTAAAAAGTATGGAGGAAGTGAAACCACTAGAGAGGAGGGTGGAGAAGGAGGAGGCCCAGGGTGGAGGATGAGAGGCCAGCGATGAGAAGCTGGACCTCTTAGGCAGAGGTGAAGAACCGAGTTCAGGAAGGGGATCAGGAAATCATGAGTGACCAGGGATGGAGCAGGGGCTGAGGGCTTCCAGGAGCAGGGCTTCCTGCAGGAGAGGTGCCTGTGCAGGACCGAGACTGCAGAGAGGATGCAGGTAGTGGTGGCTGAGGGGGCATTGGTGCAGGGCACCCTGTGGTCGGCTCCTGAGGGAGAAAGGACTGGATGAGTCCCGCAGGAGAAGAGACAAAGGTTGAGGCAGATGCTGCCCTCCTGCCTGGTCACTGTCCCCTGCAGCTGACTCTCTGAAAGAGTACAGCAGCCTCACTGCTGCTCTGCAGAGGCAGGACCCTGGGCTGGGCTCAGAGCACCAGGGCAGGGCTGGTTTCTGGGGAGGGCGAGTGACTCAGCAAGACTTCGGTCACAGGATTCCCATTGCCCTGAAACACACACAAGAACAAGGTCCTTGTTCCACAATTCCAAGCCCTAACTGAGGGGCACTGCCCACCCCTGTGCCTGACCCATCCAAGGAGCTATCTCAGGAGGTTCACGGTCCAGCCGCCAAGAATGATGTTCGCCCCTACGGCTCACGGTTCTGTGAGCAGCTCCAGTAGATGCAGTTAGGCAGAAGCTCCGGGCTGCCCAGGTCCTGCCTCACAGGGGCCCTCTGCTCTCCGGGCCCACAGTCACTGACGTCCACAGTCTAACTGCCTGCCTGACTCTCCGTATTTCCTATCAAGCCCCGCACACTGCAAGCCACTCCCCATGCACAATACAGCCTCCAGTCCAGCACATCTTCACACAGCACATGTGAGCGGCTTCTTTGCCTCAAACTTCTGTCTGTGTTGACACTGCAGAAATCTCCAGCCTCTTCTCCCCTCTGCCCTGGCCGGCCGCAGCGGTCACTGCCACAACCTTCTCTTACCCTCCTCTCCTCTCAGACCCTTTCAGCTCAAGACTGGCATTGTGGCCAAACTGGTAGTTGTCAGAATGCAAATCCAACCTCCCCTTAAATTCCTTCACTGATGACCCCAAGCTTGTAATTCCCAAGCTTGTTCTGCCAGTTTCCATGGCAACCACTCCAGCAAGGGGCCAGAGGGACACTTCCTCCTGATACTATTTTCCAATATAACTGGTGTTGGACCCCTTGGATCAGTTGGCTTCATAAACATGTCAGGGGGAAAAGTCTCTGTGAAATCCTTAAACTGATCTGAAGCAATTTACCACAGCACTTAAGAAACCTAATGTGCAGGATAAAGTGCACGCAGAAAACACCACTAGGGCCACTGATTTACATGCTGAAAGACTTATAACCTGATCCTATTAATTGGCTCATCCAGGAAATGCTCTGATTGTTTTCGATTTTTATGAAATAAGACTGAGTTAGCAGCAGAATATCAAAAGACCTCAGAGCTGCCGGTTGCCTGGCAACAAGACTTGAGCATTGGTGGTGCACATTTATGTATGTGTGGTTTCATTCTGCAGCCTCCATAGAGGCAGAGCGGAGGGAAATGCCTCTTGAAAACAGGAAAGCAAGTCTCTGGGACCAAACTTGCTGGGCCAAGGTCACCTCCTCCTATGGAGGGGACAATGTGAGGGATGAGCCTGTGGCCCTGGCTCTGAGGTACATGAGCTCCACCCCGGAATCGGGAGCCGGGCAGGATCCCTAAAGAAATGAGCCCTGGCCACTTGAGAACAAGAGCAGAGCCTTAGTAACAAGGAGGACTGGGGGATACAAGCAGAGATGCCAGTATCGAGGACTCTTCTGCTGGGTCAAGAGGACCCAGTGGTCCAACTTCTGACACAACTGTGGGAATCAAGACACAGTGACCTAGGTTTCCCCTCTAGTCCTGCTCACAGGGGCAAGGCCAGGCCCCACCTGATTAAATCTTGACACAGACCAGAGGCAGGTGGTGATACCATCTCTGTGTCGCATCCTGTGCCTGGAGAACAAGGGCAAGGTGCTATGAGAGAGAGTAGGGCGCCCTATCTGAGCAAGCTGGGGAGCCCAGGGACCCTGAGATGCAGAGAGCCCCGGCAGCCTGGCTGAGGAGCTGGGTGGGCACAAAGCATCTCACTTCACCTCTCTGACTGCTTAGGTCCTACTGAAGGCAAGTTCCCAACAAAACATCAAGGAGCTTGGAAAGCCCAGTATCCTTCCCGGGGGATGCACATCCTGCAGGTCTCTATGCTTGCCAAGTGCTTTCTCAGCTGTCACTGCCTTAAACTCTCACAACTGCCTGTCAGGAAGTACCTCTTCCACTCATGACACAGGAGCCTGCACCAGAGAGGACCAGGCCCACCCGTGCCTACTGCAGCTCTCCCCAGACCTCTCAGCTGCAGCACACTCTCTGGGCCCAGATGCAGAGACAGAATACCCAGAGAGAACAGGGCAAAGAGATTTAGGCTGCATACAGGAAATTCTTGGCAAACCAAAGTCACGGCTTTGGACTTTTAATGACTCTGAAAATAATCTCTTCCCCTTTCTCCAAAACCCCTGGTATTATTCACACAGTATCGTTTCATCTCAAGGTTAATCTCTCTGCAGTAAAAGAAGGGTACCTAAACACATTAGAAAGACACGGATTTCAGGTCTGCCTAACACCTTCTGTGATGACATGACTGACCCATAACCATACAATGTTAAAGAACTGCTCCCTTCAAAAAATACACCATGCCAGTTTGTCCAAGGTCCAACCCCAACCCTAACCCACTGAAACAACTGGTAGCATGCATGGCCTACACTGTACTAAGTTCCACCCAACTCCTCTGCAACCCTTGTCCGCCTCATAGGAACCACGAACATCCATGTGGAGGCAGAGACAGGACTGTGAAAAGATAGGAGGTGTCCAGGCCCAGCCATGTCTGCTCTGCAGGGGACATGAAGCTCTTAGGAAATGCTTCCTGCTTTACACAGAGCTCAGATGGCCCACAGAATGCATCCTTCACATCACTACAGAAAACATAAGGTCAAGCAGGAAGTGGTAATCCTCAAAGCCATCTGTGCATCTTCCCAGCATCTGAAGTGCTTTATGCATTTTCCCACCTAGAAACAAAAGCAGCAGCTACGCTGAGAGCTGCAGGCTAAGAATTCTGAGAGCTGATAGCCTTTCTCTTATGCTGGGAGATATCTGTGCAAGCAGACTCGCCTACTTGGCATATTTTTGTTTGACTATCACACCTATTGATAAGACAGGGCAGTCAATGCAGGTGGAAAGACCAAAATTCAAACATCACCACAACCTAAACAGCCAGGGGAAAAAAAAATCCCACAAGCTTAAATACTATGCCAA